CAGAAAAGATACAGGCATACAAATTGGATAATCACATTCAGTAAATCATAACCTTTCCCATGATAGCTTACATGAGCCATCTTGCATAAAGTAGTTATGTCATTCATATCAAACATATTTTCATAAAGAATTTGAAATGACTGTCACAGTCCCTAGGAGACATAGTTGAACTCCACAGTGTATTAAACTTAAGGATACAATTTCCCCCCACCCCCAAAGAATTAAAAAAAAAGTGAGAATCCTGTTTCTTATTACCTTTACAAACCTCAGCCCAGGATCAGTGAAGATTACCACACTGGACTGAGAATGTTCAAAGTCTCTCCAACGAGAAGGGATGGACAAAAGGAAGCCTGGTGATCTAATGTCCCTCCGACTGGACTCGTGAGAAAGAGTTGGCCACTTTGGTTGTTCCTGTCATGCATTCTAGCATGGTCAGGTGTCAGAGTGTCTTCTTCATGATTCTACTGCAGCTGCTGTACTTCAGGAACCAGATTGAGACCAGGGATATAAAGTTTAAACCACAGCTATCTTTATCAGAGACAAAACAAGATGGCTCCTACAGACTCTGAGCATGCAGACCTCAAGTGTGTCTACATCATGTGTGATACCCCTCACAATGGGAGGCCCTCTGGTGATTACACAGGACTAATTTTAAAAAGACTATCACACTATGTTACTGTTCCAGTCCAGCAATGTCTTCAGGAGCCATGTAATATGGAGCACTGCCATCCTTCTTCCTAGCAGTTATGAATCTTCAAAGGGGAAATTAACACTCATCACACCCACAGTGGGAGCAGGGAAATACTCTTGACCCTCCAGCCAGCAGTTCTGTATGAGCTAACTGCAGGTGCTCAGCATAAACCTAGCATGGTAGCTAAGAGTTATTAGCAACTGATCAGTACAAAAGAAGCAGCCACTTAAAACCTGCCACTACAATTGTTTAGCTAGGAAAATGTTGGGGATTTCCTATAGGACAGCACGTCAAGTTTACTCAGTAAAGAAGGCTAAATTCCACTTTTAATTACAGTCCATTGACTGGAACACAGCCTTAGGACTCTATATCCCCTTACATTCACAGCAAAACTAGATAGTGTCAGCATGAAGATTTCAAGGAACAGGATAGAATTTGGCCTTTACTAGTAACTAAAAGTTTCATCATCATTTAATTACTTCATTGTCACATTCAGTGGGAAATAAGCCCCTTGCCCACCCAACTATTCTGTTTCTCTTGCCTCCCCCTACTCTCCCTTGTCTATTTCTGTCTTTCCTGTCTCTTTCTTCTTCCTTCTGCATTTCCTTCCCTACAATAGTCCTCCTCTCCCCCCCTAGATTTCTCACTCCTTTCCCCAATCCACGTGCTAAAATTATCAGCAATATAATAGTTAATGATGTTGACAGTGTCATTTAGTTCAAACTCTGATTAGATTAATAGGGGGCATGGGAGATCACACCTCTCAAAGCCACAAGCCATATACAGTCTCAGGAAAGCAAACATTTTGTCCTTTTACTCGGTTCATTTGGGAAGCTCTCAACCATGAAAGCTAGAATTTTATTTAAGCTGAGATTCTGCAGTCTGAACATGTCACGCAGGACACATAACACCAGGTGGGCCTGACACAGGCTGTGGGCCATACATTTGACTCCCATGCCAAAGCACGTTTATGAAAAGAGAAAGAAAGAATAGGCCACCCAATGCCCATAAAGTCCTGAGGCAGGACAAAGAGGGAAAAGGGCATGCATGACCTTTTCTACTCTTATTCTCATAAGGGCATCCATACATATGGAGTCCCAGAGCAACACCTTCACTGTTGAGAAGTGGCAAAAAAAGGTATGTTAGTGGGTTCACGTGCTAATACCAACACATAGTTGGGTCTGCCAAAAAGGGACTCTGAAGAGTTAGTGTCTGAATTAAACCTGTGCAAACAAGTTACAGCTGCTGTGAGAAAAAACACTATTTACTAACTTCTGTGCATTTAAATGCTAAGCTAAAATATTTAAATTATATGTAGTCTCACAACTAGACATTTTAAGAGTTGACCCGATTTAAAATTAGGATTTTATTTTTTCTCGTGCCACCCTCTTCCTGAGATAAGCATAAGATACACACGGGGTTTAAATGGCTTTCATAGCACACAGTCAATTTTGATTCACTGACAGAAGAAATCTCTATTTTAAAATACTTTCTCCCAACTTCTCTGCACCATAGTCTTGATATTGAGTAACATCTGTGTAGTAGTGAGCCATTAATAAACTAAATTTTGCCTACAAGAATATAAATTGTTATTTAGATCTTACTCCCTGCATTTAAATAAAAAAGGACTACCAACTTGCTCTTTGAGTACTACTTTTCAGAGACAGAGTGCCATCTAGTGATCTTGATGATTATATACCAGGAAACCCCCCCCCCCCCAAACACACACACACACACACACACACACACACACAACTAAAATTAAACAAAAC